GCGTGAGCTGCATCCCGAGCCACCTCATCACAGGCACTGGTCCTTGAGGTGAACGGGGCAGTTCCTCTCCACACAATCCCACGATAAGGTGGGGTGGCAGGACACAGATGCGACTGTCCACCCATTCTGGTCTGCTCCCCCTCTCCAGCACTTGCCGGTGAAGCCACGATCCATGCAGGAACTGGAGGAGCAACTTTGCTCAGTGTAGCCATCCCCCCCCAGCCCAATGGTAAGAGCACCCCTCTACTACTACGTGCCAAGCTGAGCCTCATCTGGGTGCGGGTTCCATCTGAAACAACCACGTGGCTTTAAGGATCATGGAGTCTTTCCCAAAAGTTAACTTTCCCATTTCGCTGTTGCCGAGGCACTGCCCTACCTCCTGCCAAACACCCTGGGCGTGCAAGGAGGAGAGGAAAAGCCTGGGACTGGCAGCCGAGAACTGGTGAAAGCACAGAGCCAACGAAAGACGTTGCTGCTGGGGAGTGTAAGTGCAACGAAAGCCTCGAGAGCAAAGTGCCTGGGCTGGCTCGTTGTGTCCTCGCAAGGGGACAGCCGGTGATGCAGAGTTGCTTCCCGAGAGTGCTCCATTTTATTGCCCTGCTAAATTTAAAAGGGTCAACTAACAACAGAGGAGGGACTGGACAACCAAAATGGTTCAGAAGAGAAACCAGAGCCTCCTTGCTCTCCTCCCTGAGCCACAGTGTCCCCACGCAGTTGCCAAGAAACTGCTGCTGTTTGGCGACCAAGTTGACGGCCAGTGTGAAATAACTGTCTGATGTCCAGTGTGGGAAAAAAGTCTGCCTCACATTAGTGGCAAATGCGGAACACACTTGCATCCTTACTCCAGACATTAAGTAAATACTAATTCGTATTAATTTAGAAAAATGCTTCCTTTCTCTTCCAGGATGATAAGCGAGGGAGAAAGAGGAGAGACAAAAGCCACCCTTGAAATGGGCAGGTTTTAGAGAAATTATCAATTCATACCGATGTATAACACAGAACATACTTCATTGCGTCCCATGCTGCACAACCCCCTGCTGCTACCTCTACCGTTTCTTGCAAGCCAGGGCTGCGCAGCTTCTACGTTTTCATTAGCTGTGCGTTGCTGCAACCTTGGCAAACCCACTGTCTGCCGTTCCAGCAAAGGCACCACAGGTGAAGGAAACCAAGTTCCCACACTGTCACCTGATGCTAGATTACACCCCCCAGCATCTTCACATCCCCCGTAACTTCTACACCCTAGAGCTTTCGGCACTCTTCAACACGTACATCTGGGCTACGTTTCAGAAACGTCCCTCCCACATCTACTGCCAGCGTTCAGAGTATTGCTACACCAGTAACACCTTCCCTCTGCCCACGAGCCAAGCCTCTGTAGCTGTTCTGCTCCAAATCCAGCTTTTCCCTGTTGAAGCCCACTTCCAGGCTGCCTGCTCCATCTTAACGTGCCTCACTCTCAACCAAAAGGCTTTAGAAACTCGTAGGATTTACTCCAAAGGTAGTTCTTAACGCTCCCTTGCCCCTTTCTCCTCTCACAATGTTCACGGTATTAGTCCATGTTTAGACAGGAACATTTTCAGGGCAAAGATGGGGTCTTCCAGTCTCGGAGGATGACTCAGAGCGTTCCTCCGAACTCTGAAACGTGCTTACTCATTTCATCTTAACCTGTTATGCTGGCTGTTTCAAAAGCAACATATACACATCACTCCGAAATCAATGACCCCTTTTTCTGCTAGAAGATTTTTCCATCTCAGAGATGGACTGTCCAGAAAATATGGTGGGTTTTTTTTGTTTGGTTTTTTTTTTTTTTGCTATTTGCACCCAAATTCCACCTAAAACAGCAGCTTTCTCTGTCTGAAGAGCCCTAGATATAGCTGTGTGGCTTTTCAATATCAGAGTTAATCTACAGTTATATCTAACGCTGCAAAGTCCTCCCAGAATTTCTTCCGACTCAAAGATGATGTTGAATTCAGGCTTGAAAGTACCAGGATGAAGTGAACGGCAGCAGCAGAAACATCTAATCCAGCCTTATCATAAACCTGCTGACTTCATGGAGAGCAGGAGTGACATGATGCTTAACCTCCTGGGAGCTAGCATGAGGGCTAGCACAGACTCTTAGTAACTCATACCACCTCAGCTTCCCTCCAAAACTGCCCAGAGGCACTTCTACTTTGATTAAATTAGAGCTAAATTTGGAGTGCAGTTCATGTCATTAGCAAGGCCTGATCATGCTGGACATACTGCCGGCCGTTGGAATTACTTAGGAAAGGCAAGTACATCATTCTCCATTCAAAAACCAAATATTTAGTGCCTGGGAGTTATGCAGGACATTAAATAGTCAGTCAGCAGCCTGACCTCGGAGCAGACACCTTCCCAGGGCATTGCTTTATGCCTCTGGGGAGCTGCTGGGTTCAGAGCGGGATGCTCTTCATCCCACCACCTTCCAGGTCAGTGGCTAGGACCACGTAGGGATGGCCTCCGAGAGCAAAGGACCAACAAGGACAGTTTCAGGTCAAAACGTCAGGGCATGGCTG